TAAAGCATTGCGGGTTTTGGCTAAAGGAATGTAGGTCAAGGCTAAAGGATTGTGGGTTTTGGCTAAAGGATTACGGGTCGAGGCTAAAGGATTGCGGGTTTTGGCTAAAGATTGATGGGAAAAGGTGTAGTTGACTTAGGTTGTTGACCACAGCAAAATCCTAGGTTTCGCGTTCCATGAACGTAGTACCTGAGGAGCGCTTCAGCCATTCCTTGTTATGGACACTGATATCTTCGACAACGGTATTTTGGTTGTTAGAATCTGCCGCCATTAGTGTCTCAATATTGGAAAAGAGAATTTCAAAAATAGAAGAATCACTGCTGAGAGCGGGGAGCAGTAAATAGTACAAAAATTGTGGTTGAAAGAATGGAATCGAAGTTTCAGCCATATACGCTCAAATTCATTGTTAGAGAAGTTTAAGTGCAAAAGTCGGGAAGAAGTGACAGAATGATGGATATATGCGCGGACACCAGCATTAGAAATAAAAAAGAATGAAGGAATTGATTGAGGAACTGAAGATGAGTAGCGTCTGGCAGAGGGGGAGATTTGTGCCTCGGTCAAAAATAAAGCCAAGGGGGAAGAAGACTGGAGAAACTGGTATACAGAATCAACAGTTCGATTTGAACTACGAATGTTGGTGAGGGCTATAGAGTGTTGTGATTTTCTAAGTAGAGTGCGCATTAAGTTATTTCTGTAGGTTGTATTGTTCATTTGTGGTGTGAGAGAAGACCGGCAACCCAACCCTGAGACTTCGAGTGGTAAACCACATAAGGCCTCAATAGGTTGAGCGTGGTACTGACCCGGGCGTGTTTATCTTGTTGTGTGTGCCTAATTGCAAATAGTCATGTGTTACAACACAGCACATCTGCTCGAATTTTTGCTGTCAGATGGCGTTACAAACAAGTGTCACCACGAAGTCCTACTCGTGGAAATTCCAAAACAAAATCAATCATCCTCTGGAAAACAGAGCTTTACCGGATGTTCTCCCACTCTATTTTCCGGTAGATTTCGTCGGATTACGAGGGTGAATCCAACAAAAGAACTTGGAGAATAATCGAAATGAAGAGTTGAAGAGTGCCATACGAAGCAATGTGAGCTCACCCGTATTGCTTCCCTATGACGCATATTTACGGCGTATAGAATTGATCTGTTGTGCAAATCAAGCAGAAAAATATTTCGCTGTTTTTTTGGACGAAATTCTTTTTGTGCATTATAGTACGACTGCTTTAGAAGTATTGGTTAAACATACCTCCAAAGACAGAGTTAAAGCATTTTCGGCCTCCTTGGCGGCCAGGAATAAACGAGTGTAGTGTCGAGCCCACTGGAAGGAATACAAAGGAAAATAATGACCACCATAACAAACAGTAATGAATATTATTACTTCTAATCAATCATAAAACCGATGATAATTGTTTTTTTATTGACACTAAAACCAGGAATGTTTATCTTCGGAAATATATTGAATGGAGACTGTCAAAAGGTGCAACAGATCAAGTCAGTTTGCTTCTCGGGTGGAGTTACCTGTGCAATCAAATCCTCCCTTATAATATCAATCATGAGTCATCCACACCATAATAGTTGGATACGGCCCTGATACCGGTTTAATAATGCGACATAGACAGACAGACAGACAGACAGACAGACAGACAGACAGACAGACAGATAGATAGATAGATAGATAGATAGATAGATAGATAGATAGATAGATGGGCACTATGATGTAATGGTAGCACAGCTTAGTTGGAGCAGAACCTGAAGGACATCGGAGTAAGAAATGGTGAGGTTATGAAATTCATGATCAGGGAACTTGTGTATACAAGCAGCACGAAAATACCCGTTTGGGGCTTAAGAATTAATAAGATTCTTCTATATGCCTCACTATCGT